ATTTAATGCTAATAAAATACTAAAAAATGTTGATAAAATACTGATAAAATACTAAAAAAATGTTGATAAATGTTAATAAAATATAATATATATATAAAAATGGAACTATTCTAGATAACTATCGTATTTGAGATCTTCACATTCGTCAATTTCTTCTTGTCTTTGTAAAAGGTGAGGTTCATCCTGCAAGATGGCTTCGCAAATTTCGCCATGCACGGATGATTCACCTCTTTGATATTCCTCTTTGACATCAATCAATAATCGTCGTTCGTCGTTCAAAAGTTGTATATTTTTTCCAGAGTCCATTACATCTACTTCATCATCAATTTGATTCATTTGTGTCTAATCATCAACACTATATTCAAAATCTGTTTCATAATTATCATTTTGATCTGAGAATGTCCAACCTGACGTATTTCTCAAATGCAGCAAGTTGAACTTATCGTTCGAATTGCTATAATTACGAGGCCTTGATAGTTTGAGTTTTGGATACTTAATGCGTGAGGGTCGATTATATTGTGGAGAAGGTATTTTAACTATATAAAGTAGTTATTAGTATTAAGAATATAAACTTTATTGAATATTGCATAAATAAAATAATAATCTCCTTTGACCTCTATGAAAGATCGTAAACGTTGACCTTTCATATACCATTTTCGTTATTAGTTTTATTCACTTCGGGTGAGTGATACTCTGTATCTCGTAATATATTCATTATATCCCCTCGATCGTATTGAGCCACTCGTTCATCTTCTCTATCGAATAATGACTTCGCACCTTTAATGCAATGAACATTTTTCTAAATTTAACAAAATCTATAGTTAGTGTTAAACGTCAAGCGATAATATAAGTAAATCACCTTTACCTCGCTAAGCCAATTGTTACTATGAAGCCGTCAATTGTCTCGATCAAGACTTCCTTTCTTTTGGTATATATATCGGCTTCTTCGATGCTTATGTAAAGCCTTTAACCAATTGTTAATTTATTCGTATGTAGGGTTATAATTAGGTTTCATCACCTAGAGTAGTTCAGGTATCAGCTTTCAACGAATTTTATCGTTAGCCTCGCTTATAAAGATTTCATCACATTTAAGTTCAAGTTCTGAAGGCAACGATCTGAGTATGGCCTTTATTTCAGCCTAATTATAAAATGAAAAAAGGAATAAAGGAATAGATTAAGAGTAAATTTGACATATATGATTTAATGAAAATAATTGAGAGATTACAAACCCTCGCGCTTTCCAAATTTTCAGAATCCCTTTCGTCCTTACTTTTCTTCTTTTTTCGTTCTGTAAGTTCATCGGATTCGTCGGTTAAACTAAAGCTTGGTTGTAAACTTCTAGAGAATTGAAAAGAATGAAATCTTTCGAGCTCAGTCCGTAACTCGTTATTTTCTTCGCCGAATGCATCATTTATTGTTATCAGAGTTTGATTTTCATCTTTTAGACGTTTATTCTCCTTTGTTATGGTTTTACCTAAAGTATAACCTCTTTATTTTGGGAGCTCAATCAATCGTTTTGTTGTTTTAATTCAGAAATTTTTCGTTTTAATTCGTGATTTTCTAAATGAAAAAAATATATATTTATATATTTAGTAATTAGATTGACAATAATTAATTCAACTTTCAGTAACGAACCTGTGGTAAAACTAAAATAATCATCTTTCGGATTTGTTGCTTGATCACGACCATAATGTCTTGGTTCGGGAATAGGTGAAAATTCTGCAGGTACAGTATTTGGAGTTTTCGAATTGCCAAATAAAAATTTAGACGGTAAACGAATATTTGGCAATTTACCGTGCAATGTACACATATTTTCGATATTTATTGTCAGATTTCGGTTCATGCCTGGTGGAGTATTATTTTCTCGAATTTCAGAAGGTGTTCGAGCATGTGGAGTACTTGACTCTCAAACTTCAGAAGGTGTTCGAGCATGTGGAGTACTTGGCTGAATACTTTCTGCTGTATTTTGACTTGGAGAAGAAACGTAATGGATATTATTTTGATCACAGTCTGGTATTTCTTTATCTTTATTTTTGTTTTTTATTTTTTTTTGTTCTGAATGAATATTAATATTTGACCAAGTGTTCGTCGCATTTTGATTTGAAGAAGAAGTTCGATCACCGTCTGATATTTCTTTGCCTTTATTTTTGTTTTTTGTTTTTTCTTGTTCTTCTGAACGAAGACGTAGAATGGTTTTTTTTGAGACATTATTTTGTTGTTGATTTATAAAACGTGAAGAGAACGTTATGAAAGAAGTTAAAAAAATGTCTTCTATTTATATTAAAATTTAGACTTTAAATAAACTTGATTTAAAATAATAGACTTTGAATAATTTTCGTTAATTTTTAATTTATTGATAATATCAATAATAATCATAGATATTCAAAATATCAATAATAAATGTATTGTATGATTTATATGATTTATTGATTTGATTTAATATTAATATCAATAAAGTTGATTTATTAATTTTTTCATAATATATTTATACATTTATAAATAACTAATTAATCTCTGAAACTAACGAACATATAAACTTTCTTAGAAAATTTATAATTGAATTGTAAGGCAAATTGACAAAAAACTTAAAGAGGAAACACAATGCCTAGAAAAAGGGCGATTAGCGACGTAATCGATGAGCCATCACAAGTTAATCATTCTACTGCTAGTAGGTCTGTCCGTAAAGCAATATTGAAGGTTTGCTGTAATTGTATCGATTGTAAAGGTGATTTTGTGAATCCACGAACAAAGATTTTACATGAAGCTAAGAGTTCGTTTGGAAAAGTAACTACAGATCAAGAAGATAAAGTTGAACTAGAAGGCATTTATATTCCGGAACCTTCAACATCAACCTTTCATTAATTTGTGGTTCAACAAGATACACAAGATAGTCAAGATACACAAGAAAACAAAACTACAGATGATGACGATAGTTATGAACCTGAATTGAAATTCTTACCTAGAAGACATGTAAAAGGACATGGTAATCGTCAAAATTCGGCTAGGGTTACTTTAGAATATGAAGATCCAGAGAACGAAGATTCAGAGTTCTTTACCGATAATGAACAAAATACAGATTCTTCTTTGGATGACGATACTGGATCAACCAATAACAAAGAGTTTTATGAAAATTTCAAAGATTACTCATGTCCTAAATTTGATCCATTTCAAATTACTGCAGAGACGATAGGTAATAATAAATTTTTATGGATCTTAATATGGATTATAAGCTTTTGGATAAGATATAATCTTCCAGAAACCGCTACAAAATCACTATTAAAGTTTATAAAGCTATTATTAAAAGAAACTGGAAGCACAGATTTTAACATGTTTTCTGATACATTGTATCTTATGAGGAAGGTACTTGACATTAAAGACTGCTTTCATAGCTTTGTGGCATGTCCAAAATGCCACAAGCTGTATAAACAATAAGTAGTTGAAAACTTTAATGAAGATGGTGTATCAGCTATTATGAAGTGCCAACATGTTGAATACCCGAATTCGACAAAACGCAGAGCAAATTATTGTCAGACGGCCTTATCACAAAAAACAAAAATGTTGAACGGCCAAATTTCGTACAAAGCTATACTCACTTATCCGTTTGTTGGCATCTAACAACAACTTGCCGTAATGTTTCATCGGCCTGGATTCGAGAAATCCCTAAGACATTGGGTAAATAGGTCAGAATTTAATAATACCTTAACTGACATATATGACAGCCAGGTTTGGAAGAATTTCAAAAATACAACTGTTGAAGATTTACCCTTATTTTTTCGACTTGAAGTTGCTGATTCCAATCTGGGACTTATGCTGAATCTTGATTAGTTTCAGCTGTATGAGGAAACTGTTCACAGTACCGGAGCGATTTATGCGGCTATTTGTAATTTACCATGAGATATACGATTTAAACGTGAAAACTTACTTCTACTTAGCCTGTTGCCAGGACCAAATGAAGTAAGTTTACACAAAATCGATCATTATTTGGCGCCTATAGTTACAGAATTAGAATCACTTTGGAAAGGCGTGACTCTTAATCGTACTAACGAATGTCTAAATGGGAAAGC